CTATCTAATAAAACATGAATGCTTTGTTTTAACAAACGCCCTCTCTTTTGAACTTGCGCAAACTTCGTATCTTCATGAAAACTGAGCCGCTCAAATTACCGCGCGTAACTTTATTAATTGTGACACATTTAAAAACATGAGAATGTTTTCTGTTATCATGCAGACATTAACGTTTAAAGAAAGGCAAAAGAGTGCTGCCATTTCGGGATATGAGAATACCAATAGACCATTATAGATAATAGATGAGTGGGATATTTGCAAAGCAAGGTCTGAATGAGCCTCACATATAAGTCAACTTCATGGTGGATGATGAATGTCTAGTAGATCTGCTAAAACGTAAAAAATAACAAAACAATCGTTGAGATAGCTAAACTCTTCCATACTAGATTCAGACCCGGGGTTTCAGAATGAGACAAGATAAAATGCCAACTGCCTCAGGTGACCGACACATCAGAAAATCAAATCATTTTTTTTTTATTTTTCCAATTTTTTTATCCTATCAGTGCTGTACTTTTCCCCTCTATGTTGTTGTTACTTTATTGTTCTACTTAGCAAGATCGTACATCGAGATATGGTTTCAACAAAGATTATTAGTAGTATTAGTATTATTATTTATGTTTACATGTCTGTTTGCACCCCGAGTTGCACGCATTAACAGCTTATTTCAACCACAGTCCCTGTGTTTCAATATAAATGTGCCAAACCTTGGAGTTAACAAATTAACTTGTTACAAACAATCACACCAGCAAAAATGGCGTCGCCCAGTTGGATAGACAGCTTACGCTCTGCTCAAAAGACGGCCCTTGTTCAAGACGGTAAGAAATGGTTATTGGATTATATATTATGCTGTATCATCACCACATACTATGTACTGCGTCAGTCGTTGTGAGTTATTGGAGCTGATAGTTCATTGGCATGTATATCCTTATCTGGGACGCTGGTTGTATATACAACAGATGGGTGCCGGCCGAACCCGGCCAGCGGTCGAAGTCGGCCGGTTTATGTGAGTGTTAATGGTCTGCGAGTGTTGTTGATTTCAGTGACGCAGTGTCATATACCGGTGAAAAATAAAATACTGTACAATACACCACGACCAGCATTATTCGTGTTATTCCAATGTATTGTCAGTGTCGATTTGTAACCTTGCGCAGGGGCGGCAACACGAAATTTTGCATGGGGGGGGGGGGTCTGCTCTCCAAAACACAGACGGTCTGGTTCTGCTATGAAAAAACGAAACGAACAATGTTTCAATTTGTTAGAAATTGTTACATGACAAAATACTATGATCTGTTGCTGTCTGTACTGTAAAACATCAACTACTTTTAGAAAATGTTTAATTAACACTAAATCCACCCACTCACCAACCCATTAACACTGTCGGAGTAATTTCTGAATCATTTATCTGTGAAGCATTGTAATTGAAACATGCAATATTTGTTAATCGCTTTATTCATTACGTTTTATACAAGTTCAATAATACTGTATTCAGACTTATACATTGTTGCAAAATACGGATTCTGAAGTGAGAAGACGACATGAATGCGAACGTGGTAAAAACCACCGCAGTGTGTTCTTTTGTTTCAATTTTTATATTCGTCCAATTAGAAGTTTTCCCACTAATTTTCTTACACGGTCAAGAGTTTATCGATGTATATCAAGGGCATACTGCCAATTCTGTATCATTCTTACAATTTGTGTTATATCGTTGATATTGAATTGTAAGTCTCCGGATTGCCAGCGGGTTTTCCGTTAGTGAATAAATTCTGAGTTTTCATTAAGTCGTTCTTCTGTGGTGATTGGTGCTGATTGTGTAGCAGATAATTTTGCATACTATATTTCATTACATTTCCATAACCGCAACGCATTGTCCCCCACAAACACATAACCAACCCAATATTCTAGGCCTAAATAAATTTGGTGCAAATTTAGCTTGTAGGGCAGAGTTGGGCTGTTTCCCATTACTAATAGACACCAAGAAAAACCTTATCAAGTATTGGTTACGCATACAAGGGCTTCCAGATAAATGTCTTACAAAACAAGCATATTATGAACAAATGAAATTCAATTTACCGTGGTGTTCATCGGTTCAGAATTTAGTTATTGACTCAAGAATCCAAACTAGTAAAACAGATTTGAATATGAA